TCGTCGATATATACAAAGACGAAATCAAGACCTTGGGTAACTTGGTCCATAAAACGCTGAAATGTTTGAGCAGCATTCTTTAGTCCGAAAGGCATTCTCAAGAATTCGAATAATCCAAAAGGCGTGATAATTGCTGTTTTTGCAATGTCTTCTGGAGCGACTGGTATTTGATGATATGCCCTGACCAAGTCAACTTTAGTAAAAATGGTCTTTCCATGTAAGGTCAAGGAGAAGTCGTGGAGATGAGGTATTGGATAACGGTCTGGGACCGTAGCGTTATTCAAAGCGCGATAATCTCCACATGGTCGCCAGTCGTGATTAGTTTTAGGTACCATATGCAAAGGTGAAGACCATGGACTGTTAGATGGTCGTATGATGCCTAGCTGCATCATATGTTCGAATTCCGACTTAGCTGCTGCTAGTTTATCGGGTGGTAACCGTCGTGGACGTGCCTTCACAGGTTGTCCTGTTGTGATGATCTTATGCGTAACTGTATGAGATATATCTTCGACGTTGTATGACGGTTTAAGGATTTTAGGAAATCGTTGCAATAAAGCAGAGAACATTTCACTCTCCGGCTTTTCTATACAGATGCTATGAACAGAGTAGTCACATGTAATACCGTGGATCTTGAGTTGGGTGCAATTGTCAATCAGTTTTTTCTTGCTGATATCAACTAACAGATTGAAATGACTTAAGAAGTCTGCACCTAGTATAGCGTGACGTACGTCAGCTACTATGAAGATCCATGTGAAACGTCGGCGTAGTCCTAAGTTTAAAATCATTGACTGTTCGCCATACGTCTGTATGTTGGTTTGGTTGGCAGCACGGAGTGAAAGTTTACCAGGTATTTTGGCTGATCGCCTGGATAGTGAGGGGGGAATAACACTGACCTCGGCGCCTGTATCAACCAGGAATAATGTGCCGGTAGTCAAATCCCTCACATAGAAAAGGTGACTGGGGTGATTGCCAGTAACAGCCGTCGCCATTACTGCCTGGCTGGGGAGTTTCCCTGAGTTGAGTTACCACCGCTGTATATGCACGGTCGAATACACTTCAGGGCATTATGCCCATACCTCCTATAATACCAACAAATGTTACGATTTTGAGACGGTGTTCTAGAACGTCGTCTAGATCTTGATCGCCGTTGCTTGGATACCGTATGTGACTGGTTTCTTTGTGCTCGAAGCTCAGACACTTCCAGTCGTAAGTCTTGTATTTGAGATGTGTCTGAGCTTCGAGCACAAAGAAACCAGTCACATACGGTATCCAAGCAACGGCGATCAAGATCTAGACGACGTTCTAGAACACCGTCCCAAAGCCGTAACATTTGTTGGTATCATAGGAGGTATGGGCATAATGCCCTGAAGTGTCTTCGACCGTGTATGTACAACAGTGGTAACTCAACTCAGGGAAACTCCCCAGCCAGACAGTAATGGCGACGGCTGTTACTGGCAATCACCCCAGTCGCCTTTTCTATGTGAGGGATTTGACTACCGGCACATTATTCCTGGTAGATACAGGCGCCGAGGTCAGTGTTATTCCCCCCTCACTATCCAGGCGATCAGCCAAAATACCTGGAAAACTTTCACTCCGTGCTGCCAACCAAACCAACATACAGACGTATGGCGAACAGTCAATGATTTTAAACTTAGGACTACGCCGACGTTTCACATGGATCTTCATAGTAGCTGACGTACGTCACGCTATACTAGGTGCAGACTTCCTAAGTCACTTCAATCTGTTAGTTGATATCAGCAAGAAAAAACTGGTTGACAATTGCACCCAACTCAAGATCCACGGTATTACATGTGACTACTCTGTTCATAGCATCTGTATAGAAAAGCCGGAGAGTGAAATGTTCTCTGCTTTATTGCAACGATTTCCTAAAATCCTTAAACCATCATACAACGTCGAAGATATATCTCATACAGTTACGCATAAGATCATCACAACAGGACAACCTGTGAAGGCACGTCCACGACGGTTACCACCCGATAAACTAGCAGCAGCTAAGTCGGAATTCGAACATATGATGCAGCTAGGTATCATACGACCATCTAACAGTCCATGGTCTTCACCTTTGCATATGGTACCTAAAACTAATCACGACTGGCGACCATGTGGAGATTATCGCGCTTTGAATAACGCTACGGTCCCAGACCGTTATCCTATACCTCATCTCCACGACTTCTCCTTGACCTTACATGGAAAGACCATTTTTACTAAAGTTGACTTGGTCAGGGCATATCATCAAATACCAGTCGCTCCAGAAGACATTGCAAAAACAGCAATTATCACGCCTTTTGGATTATTCGAATTCTTGAGAATGCCTTTCGGACTAAAGAATGCTGCTCAAACATTTCAGCGTTTTATGGACCAAGTTACCCAAGGTCTTGATTTCGTCTTTGTATATATCGACGATGTCTTAATTGCCAGCTCATCGATGGAAGAACATATGGAACACTTAAGCTTGTTATTTCAAAGGTTTGAACAATTTGGAGTTGTTATCAATCCAAAGAAATGTATTTTTGGTTCCCCTTCCATTGAATTCTTAGGACATCGAATAACTGCCGAAGGCATCAGACCTACCGAAGATAAGATAAAAACTATTAAGAACTTTCCCGAACCTGATTCCTTAAAGAAACTTAGACGTTTTCTCGGGATGTTCAACTTCTACCGACGTTTTATTCCATCATGTGCCTCCATAGTTCAGCCACTGACCGACCTACTTAGATGCAATTCGAAGAAATTTCAGTGGTCTGAAGAAGCAAAAGCAGCATTTAATAATGCAAAAGATGCCTTATCCAACGTTGTAATGTTATCTCATATCAACCCAGAAGCTTCACTCATTTTATGTACAGATGCATCGCAGGTAGCAGTGGGAGCAGTTTTACAACAAAAGTTCAATAATGACACCACTCCACTTGCTTTCTTCTCCAAGAAGTTGGAACCTGCGCAAACTCGTTACAGCACTTTTGGCAGAGAACTGTTAGCCATCTACCTAGCAGTGAAACATTTCAGCTTCTTACTACAAGGTCGACATTTTACTATCTTAACCGACCATAAGCCTCTTTGTTATGCTTTCACCACTTCGTTGGACAGACACTCTCCGAGAGAAGCCAGACAACTGGATTACATCTCACAATTCTCAACAGACATCCAGTTCATCAAAGGAGATTCCAATATCGTAGCCGATTCTTTGTCTCGATGTGACGTTAATCACCTATCTTCGATAGATATTAGCTTAGACAATATTGCCAAGCTGCAGAAAAATGACGCCGAACTCCATACTTGTAGACGAAACTCCTCCCTACAGTTGCAGGATGTACCTATTCCCCTGTCTGATACAACTATCGTCTGCGACGTTTCAACGGGCGTTCATAGACCTTTTGTTCCACTAAGTTGTCGAAAACCTTTGTTTGAACATCTACATTCATTGTCTCATCCTGGAGTGCGTGCTACGGTCAAGTTAATCAGCGAGCGTTTTGTTTGGCCCAAGATGAACTCCGATATTCGGAAATGGGCCCGCCAATGCTTGCAATGTCAAAGATCCAAGGTACATCATCATACCGTCACACCTCCAAAACAGTTCAATTTACCGGATAAACGATTTCAACACGTTCATATAGATATTATTGGACCATTACCGCCATCCAGAGGATTTACTCATATACTTACTGCGATTGATCGATTTACCCGATGGGCTATTGCTTGTCCACTCAACGATATATCTGCAGAAAATATCGCTTTGGTTTTCTTAGATCGCTGGGTGTCAAACTACGGAGTACCCACAACTATTACAACAGACCGAGGAGCTCAATTTCAATCAACTCTGTTTCGAGAGTTTACGAGACTCCTTGGAGTGAACCATATCTCCACTACAGCTTATCATCCTGCAGCGAATGGTCTGGTGGAACGTTTCCATCGACAACTGAAAAGCTCGCTTATGGCACAAGCTGACTCATCTAAGTGGAGTGAACACCTACCATTAGTTCTTCTCAGTATCCGATCAACTGTAAAAGAAGATTTGGGATGTACACCAGCTCAACTTGTGTATGGTACTACCCTCACATTGCCTGGTCAGTTAGTTCCGTCTAATGATTCAACTGAAGTAAATATCTCCGACTTCACCAACCGCCTTACCCAGCAAATGCTCCAGCTTCGACCAGTAGCCCCTCGCCAATCACTTCAGAAAGCTCAAGTTAATAAGAATCTACTCACTAGCAAATTTGTATTTGTTCGCGTCGATGCCATTAGAAAAGGTTTACAACATCCATATGAAGGTCCTTTTCTAGTACTTAAACGCACCGATAAATACTTCACGCTGAACAAACATGGTAAACCGGAGACTGTTTCTATCGATCGTCTTAAACCAGCGTACACCGACAGCGAATATGAAACACTAGCAACGCCGACACCAATAAACAATCAGAAAGTCAATGCAACTCCAACTCTCCCGCTCTTCACACTTCCCCCTGTACAGACACGCAGTGGACGGCAGATCTGTAAACCTGCCCGCTATGTTCATTTTATTGACTGACATAAACGTTAACCTCATTTAGACATTCTTCTCATTACTATTGTTGTCGAGATTCATTTCATTATAACCATAAATATTTATTAGTATTATTGTTTGCTGTTCGTTAACTGTACTGCAAGCACACGCATTCACCAAGTATATGTATATATCTATTTATATATGAATTTCACAAATGTTAACGAACATGTCATGGTTTATTATGTACATAAATTTTTTATTTAAAATTATAACAAGTTTTGATTTTTTTTAAATTCCTGTATGTGCTTGTATGTGCTAAACTTTATACGACACGGATGCATTCCATACATCCTGATCTAACTTTGTATCCTTATTGTTGTTGTTGTTATTTTTTGTTATCCTTATTGTTGACATTGTCCCTTATTTATATTGCTTATATTCATGTAATCGTCCACGAGGACAGTACTGATGGTCCTCCGGACCTCTAAGAGGGGGAGCCCTGTGGAGTCCTCAAAAATAAACTTATCCAAATTTTACTACTATGTAAGAAATGAACATATTGTACATCACTTTGTTTTAACCATAAACTCTGTACTTTGAACTTTACCTCGGGTTTTGAATAAATATATAGTTCTGCCTTCGACTCTCCGTCTTCTCCACCATCTCAACTGCCGTCGATCAATTTTAATCACCTGCTTTCTATCTCAAATTTTTGCAGGAGCACCGTAGTTTCTTCCTACGTACTTTGGTCGACCTCCGGCAACGTCAACATTGGAGAATTAGTACTGGAGCAGTCTTCCCGCAGCGCCTGGAGTCTATTACGTTTATTGTGGATTTTGGATCTTTGTAAACCCAAGTAACGAAACTTTAATATATTCTTCCCGTAACTAAACTGATTTGGTATTTTATTTTCTACTTGAATTTGGGTAACTAAGCTAACAGAAATAAAGGTCCACCACAGCTTTAGGAATTACGAGAAATAAATCGTAATTTCACTTGTGGAAGCATCTACTCTTCCATAAAAGCATAAGATCATATGTGGAGACTTCAACCTATTCGAAATCAACTGGGATTTATTAGCAAGCCCAATAAAGTATGACGAGCTCTTAGGTACATTGAACATTTTCGGTTGGAAACAATCTGTCACTATCCCAACAAGAGGTGAAAACGTGCTGGGCTTAATATTCTGTAACGATATAGGTCCCCTCTCAATCTTAGTGGGTTCTAAGTTTACAGGTAGTGACCACAAGAAAGTGATGTGTGGACTGCCACTTCCACTGGGGAGCAACGCTGCTCATACCTCCACTTCACAACAAGTAATATGTAGGAACTATATTAAGGCAAACTGGGCTTTTGCAGAATCAATGCCAAGATCCTCAGAATGGGGTGAATACTTCACTACTGATGAGCTCTGAGCATCTTCTACCAGAACTCAAACACATGCTTAGATGATATCATTCCACTCCAAGCACTTAGGGTTTCTCCACATAGAAAGTCATTTATAAAACCGAAGTGTCGTACGAAAGTGAACAGGCGCTCGAAGAGTTACTTCAAACACCACGACTCTGATACACCAGGCTTAATACTTAACGCTCTAACTCCATCTCACAAGGTCGAGATTTGCGTATGAGAAATGAAGAACGCACCGCAGTAGTCAGTCCTGCTAGTGTGTATGCTCTCTCAGAAACCCCAAAGAAGCGATTTATTCGCGAAAATCACAGCATTTCTCTCCTCACAGACAAAGGTAGGCTATTCACTGACTCTGCAGACATGTGTGAATTATTAAGCAGAACATCTTAACTGACTACCTGAAGACTACAGTCCCATTACTTGGTATACACTCTACTACTGATGTGGCACAACTTGCATCCTTACCCACACCAAAACAAATTAGTACCCTTGAGTTTACTTATGCTAACATTAACCAAATCATTAGAACTCTCAAAAGCTATGAAGGTTTCGGCACTGACGGTATATCATCGTATTTCACATTCTCGAAAACTTAAGTCTACTTTTTTATGCTTCAGTGTTCTGGTGGAGGAACAAGTATGGAATTTTCAGCGTGTGATATCCATAGCCCAAATTTTGCAGGCCGACCATAGATATCAGGTGTGCGTCGTCGTGGGCTCGAACCTCGGACCATGTGCATGGTCGGCGAGAGTCCTAACCACTGTGCCACTGACGCACACTTTCTGTTTGGAGTAGTTTAGAACTTAATTTCAATAATAGTATATTTTCTTAAATTTTCACTTGTTCTTTTTAGTGAAGTGTCATCGGTATCTGGTCGTAATCAGCATTGAGCACACCAGAGAACGTGAAGATATGAATGTATTATAGCAGATTAATCGGAGCCAAATATAGTACACAACTTGTCCGCATGCTTTTCTCACCCTCTATGTCGTACTTTATAGAGTAAGGAAATTTTTAAGACATGTAGAACTTAAATCTCACATAAATCTACATAATTTCATGTTATTGAAGTGTTGGTTTGCAAGGTTTTGACTAGTTACAAGATTTCATCATGAGCTGAAATCGGCTCGAGAACCATTAGAAAACCGCCACTGGAGTGCCATACAACTATTTCGTCCTACTTTGTGACTATTCAGGACTCACTCACCCAGTACGTTTCAGTTAGAAGGCGAGCTCGTAGACCATGCATCAGTCACTGGGACCCGATCCAATGACCAGTCCATGAATTCTAACTTCCGCCAATTCACGATATGGTGCAACTACTAGTCAATGTCACAGGTAAATAATATCTGTTCCCACACCTGTCTACGAGGCAGCCATTTTACTGGAAGGTTCTGGCTCGAACGCTGGTGGTGAGTGCGTAGTTCTGAATAGTTCCAATCTAGGACAAAATAGTTGCCCAGCAATCCAGTAGCGATTTTCCAATAGTTCTCTAACCGATTTCAGCTCATGATGAAATTCTCCAACCAATTTTATGTTAGTCAGATGACATTTAGTAAGTCGAATCAGTAAAATTCCATGTAATAAGATTAGGTAACTTTCGCTCATCTGAAAGTATTGAGGTATACATTTTCTGGATTGATGTATCTTGAAATATAGAAACTTTATATCTTAAAGTTCATAACTAAAAGTGACTATCAAGTCACGTGCTCTAAACCCGTCCCACCTACTAAATGTTTAATGGTCAGATAGTGTGGTTAAATCTTACAACATACAAGCCAGAGGCTTGAAGTTTCGGTAGCAGTAGTGTTCATTTTCACCGAATGGGGTCGCTAGACAGCCTCATTCCCAGCCTTCCCTCTTTACCAGTTTTATTACTGGCTTAGCGAGGTAAAGGAGTGCGTCTGTGGCCGGGAGTCGAACCCCAAGCCACCACCTGTGGCGTAGTTGGCGAGCATTCTACTGCTGTGCCACCGACGCCCAATATTCATTGTAATTTATCATATTGAAGTGGTTCGGCAATCGGTAGGTGGATAAGACTTCCTTGATAAAAGGCTTTTGACAGAGTCAACCACGAAATAATTCACCAACAGTGCCACAAAAATTTATAAACGTCATTCAGTTCAGTATTCTATGTGGTGATGCCACAACAGGAAGCTCAAAAGGGTCTTTGAAATGAAGAAAGGAGTAAGAGTAACGATGCCCATTATCACTGATACTCGTCATCACTGTGGCAAGTTGCATCAAGGGGACTTACCGTTGGGATGACCAAACAACCCTGGAATTTTCGTGTATTTCGTGTACCTATCAAGAATCTATTATTCAAAAGGAGATGGAGGTAGATTAAGCATCCTCCGAGGAGATCGTTGTGTGATATCGCACGCAAGGCAAACCATCTAATGGAATCCAGTGGTAACACGAAGGAGAATCATGTCAAGAAGGAAATGACAGGTTGTGGACAGTAAGTAGTATAGTCATCTAGAAATAATGGCAAAGAGCACAGAATACAGTGACAAATAATAACTTTAATAACGACGGAAGCATGAACTCAGTTGATATGTACATTTAACGCAAGACTTCTTTGCGTACTGACTGAACAGAAATTCATACTGAGATTAAAAACATTTATTAGCCTCAGAATCATAAACAAAATTTAATCAATATTTTGAATAGTTTTCGAAAACAAGGAGAATGTAATTCTTAGTTTTCTTTTGATAAATAATTAAAAACAAATAAACATTGGAATATAAATTAATTTTCACAATTTGATGAATGATGAAGGGGATTGAATGGACGAGAATTTAGAATAAGAGATTCATTGTATAAAAAGATGGAAACCGCAAAAATAGTCGAAGACGATGATTTTTTTAAATAAATCTGTTAGGAATTTTCATGTGCATATCTTTTCATTTTGATGTATTACCCCCACCGTATCTAAAAAGAACAAATAATGTGGTAATATTTAGGATCAGTCATGCTAAGATAAACTCAGATTGGCAGATTATACACTTTACACATAGACAGTTAGTTGCACTGACATCTGAGCTCTTTCTAAGGCTGTACAAAATATACAACAGTCCACACCTTGAAGTACACAGTATCATTTCAACCTACTGCTTAGAAGAGAGGCCAACCTTGTGAGAAGAGTTCAAAGACGGGTGACAAAAGGAGTGATGGGTCTCAGAAATAAACCGTAAGATTAACAAACGGGATTCGTTTATTACCTACAGGAAAACAAATGACCAGAATCACCCAAACAAAGATGTTCTGCCATTGAGTAGGCATGCGCTTCCTCGTGGGAATCCACGGAAGATAGCTCACCATAGAACAAAGACCCGGGTGCGCTTCCGCTTTTCACTGCGGGTTTACCGTCCCTAGAACTCTTTACCGGCAGATGTAGCTATGCCCCACCGTCTGTGGACACCCTTAAACGAAGGCTAGACAGTCATGCAGTACCCGGCGGGTACGTACTGAAGAAGAGCCCAAAAATAGGTTGAAACAGCTGACCAGTACTTTCAGGTGGTTTTTCAATGGTTCTCTAACCAATGTCAGCTCATGATGAAATCCTCCAGTCAATCAAACAAAATCCCTACAAAACCAATACTTGAAAATTAATCTGATGCTCACTAGTGACTGGCCCTATTCAGGCAGTGACCTGGAGTTCTAGTGGGAAGCCGTGACCAGTAGAGCACAACAGATTGAATGTGAGGCAGTAACTCATCGAAGTAGACATTTCGAAGATGTCGCGCTATGTCATGAATTAGCAGAAGTTAAAATTCGTGGGTTGACAATTGGACCGGGTCCCAGTGGCTCAGCAGTATACGAGCACGCTAACCTTGTCACCAGAAGTTCCTGAGTGTGTGTGTATGTGTGAGTACTGATGGAGAGCCACAAACTAGGACGAAACAGCTGGCTGTCCAGGACTTAAGTGATGGTTTTCCAATGGTTCTCTAACCAGATGTCAGCTCATGATGAAATCTTCCATTCCGTTTGGTCTTTTGTAATTTTCATCTTTTAATCAAAATATACTTACTGTATCATATTTTTTGGCTCTAATTCAATTTGGACTTTCCCGTTGGACCGAAGTGCTCTGCCTCAGGTTGACATATCGGGTCCTTGTGTACATGCTTCAACGATGTCTGATTAGTTAACCTGAAGTAAATTATTGGTGGATGATGAATAGCAGTTGGATCCAGGATAACACGCATTCAGTCCTATTTCGGACTGACTCGTCGTCTGGTGTTCCCACTGGTGCTCAAAGCCAGTACGATTGGTTTAAAAATGCCAAAGTGTTACTTCAAATAGGATGAAATGCACAGATCCTGGATTCCACTGCTAGTAACCACCCATCATTTTTCCCCTTCTCTATAGATTCGTGCATGGATAGGTTTTGATTCAGTCATACTGTTATCTTATTGAAGCACAAGGATTGAGCCTTCAACAGCATTCAATCTAGAAACTTCAAAAAGTGAGGTTTGTAAATTCGGTGCATTATTTTCATATGTAATATATTACGGTGTTTTAGACAATCCTGTGTTCTCGATTTTATGTGTAACACACGTTCAGTTTATTAACTCGAAAGGTTAATTCCTAATTATTTTTCCAGATTTCTTAGAAGAAATCTACTTTGGTAGATTTAGGCGTGACTCCTGGTTGGTTTCTGAGTAGCTGTTACTGAAGTGTTAAAATTCAAGTCGAGTTTTTGTATTTATCCTTCAATATCGGCTTTTCTAATCATTGTGAAGCGGGATTCAGCAAGGGAACATAAGCTGGGCTTAGACCATCATGAGACCGGTTAGTTTTACACTTTTAATGAGTACAGTAATCAGTGAAGTACAATCTGGCCGTTGTTATGGTAATCCTGCTTAGTACAAGGGGAACTGTAGGTTCAACGAAATGGTATATATGCCTGGTTGAGAGGCCAATGGTGTAAATCTACCATCTGACGAATTTACACCAAAGGCTTCTTATTCCGAATCCCATTCATATTTGTAACGGTAAATTCCGTATCTCACAAATCGATCCACTGAAGTGGGCCATATGTTCGGCTTGGCTCATTAGGTCTGGTGTTACGTCACGGCGATGACCATAAACTATGTTCCGCAATTCGGGCTGTAGGGGTCGACACGATATCTAATTGAGGTATGAGCATTTGTAAACGATTTTTTTTCCGGGGAGACGTAAGTGCTCGGGAAGCTATCACACTGTGAGGCACTGAGTTCTATCTCTATTTCCATTTGACTTTCAGTGACCTTATAAATTGTGTGGTTTGTGAAGCAGAAAAAAGTCTACCTTGAAATTAGTCAAACCTTAATCAGCATAGTATTTGAGCATGTGCGTTTCAAAAGATCATTTTACGTACGGAAAAGTTTACTTACAGAAAAAAAACGGATCATCTTTTTTCTCTTCATATATTTCGTACTTCACTTTGACGTACTAAACCATCTAGAAAGGAGGAAAAAAGAATGTAGAACTGTTAATAAGCAAAACTATGTGGTTTTTTCTAAATAATCTTGAATATGAAGTTGGTAGAAAAGCTAGAAATGAGCTAAATCGGTTTTCTTCTCTCTTTGACTAATTGTAGATCAGTAATCAGGCGTTGGTTTGCAGAGAATTGATTGGTTACAGGATTTCATCATGAGCTGACCAGTGGTTTAATGATCTACAAACTCGACTTGTAACCAGAAGTTCCTAGGTTCGAACCCTGGCAGTGCGGTGGGTGAGTACTACTGAATAGTCTCAAAGTCGACTGACAAAACAACTGTTCAGTACTCCCTGCTGGTTTTCCAATGGTTATCTAACCGATTTCACCTCATGATGAGTTCCTGTAACCAATCAAATTAAATCCCTGCTAACCAACACTGGAATATTAATCTGTTTATCACTAGCGACTGCCTCCATTCAGGTAAGTAGTTAACTGGGTTCTAGTAGGAAGTCGTAGCCAGTCAGATACAGCAGGTGAGGGTAAATACCCCTCAGCAATGACACTGGGTAGTGCCGGTAGTGCTATCTTGTGAACTGGCAGAAATTGGAATTGTAGATTAATTTAGAAGTTGGTTACCGGTAACCGGGATACTGAAAGAAACTGAAGAAAAAGTATAATGTAATAACCTCACCACTTGGCTTTATTAATCTGGAGAAAAGTTCAACTGCAGATGTAGACGTGTCGTTAAACGGTGAAGTGTGGAGTTTTGTGGCGCAGTAAATCCTTTGTGGATTATTATCTTTTGTTTTGCAAAATGACTCTCATTCTATATGTTCGGTATAAGAACCCCGCTTTGCTTACTCCACTCTCTAGCTATGATCCGCAAATAAGGTATGACACAAAGTTATCCAGTTGACAAGTATTCTAGATAGCTGTTTCGTCTCAGCTCAAGACTCTACAGTTGTGCAATTCATGAATATGCACAGCATTGAGTTTATATTATTAAAATGATGGTTGCAGCGAGGAAGAAAATTTTGTTATCGACGAAGTCACCGTCAACTAGGCGGCTATACATTCGTGCATTTATGATAAATGGGTGGGAAAGTTCCAGAATAATTTCCGGTTAAGGATTGTAGTACCCCTATATCAACTGTAAACACGCTTTTTAATCTAATTTGTATACTTGTATTATATGTTTACAAAGACCGATTTTATATGTGTACTTCGCAAACATTTGTCATTTTTACTGTTGAACATTACCTTGACACAATTTCGAAATTTGACTACGGCTATAATACACAGTCTAACTCTTCGCAAGTGCCTTTTGGGTTTACGTTGTGGGCGTCGAGTAGCCACAACGTCTATGCACATTGATAGGCGAAGTTCAACAATAGCCAAGTACTAGGAAATACGTGTACGCCGATTTAGTCTAATAACGTACGCAACAGGGTTAAATTAATAAAATTAAAATTAGGAATTAAAATGCCATAATCAACAGGTGGGGGATGGATAAAACTCAAACAAAGTAGCATCATAATTACTGAGAAGATTGACATTATTGTGCAATTGGGGGGCTAGAAATGCAAAAATAACAAAAATAGACGGGATGTTTGAATAAAAAAATCTAGTGGGATCATAACTAATGCGATGAATAATTGTTTATGCAATCAATGATTAAATATGTATAAATAATAAAATGACAAAATATACAAGAAGTTTGGATATGAAAACATGGTAGTGTATATAGGGATTAAGAAAAACTTTAAAATAACATGAATAAACAGTAACTTTGGATAAGAAAGGCAATAGGATGGTAACTATCATAAGAACTACCTCTTTATGATGGCTATGGCAGCGACAAACGTCGGACGTGTTTCTTTTGGGTACATAGGGCAGGTGGTAGTGCCTCGGCTATGATGCACAGATGTCTTAATTTTACTCTTTTAGTAATGACCATCCCATTGCCTTTCTTATCCAAACTTCCTGTCTATTTTTGTTATTTCTATATTTTTAACCCCCAATTGCACAATATGTCAATCTTGTCAGTAATTATGATGCCGCTTTGTTTGAGTTTTATCCGTCCATCACCCCTCCCCCTCTCTGTTTATTATGGCATTTTAATTCCTAATTGTAATTTTATTAATTTAAGCATCGACTGGAAATTATTCTGGAACTTTCCCACTCATTTATCATAAATACAAGAATGTACAGCCTCCTAGATGATGACTTCGTCGAAAAGAAAATTTTCTTCCTCGCTGCAACCATCTTTATAATAATTCCAATGATCCAATGTGTATATTCCGTGAGTTTACATTCGTTATGTTTTCATAACTGAATTTCACGATTCGGCTACTCGGTCAGAATCTAAGGAATCACGATTTACTAATTTTGGCAATTCATGAAACATTGTATCGAAGCTTTTTGAGTGATACCTTGCTGTGCTGTGAGTGGATGGATAATGCTAATGAGTGGAAACACCTTCGTTTTCGATAAAACTGTGAGTCACTTAGGTTCATGACATCGTCCACCCTGATCTTCTTATATATTTCAACCCGAATTTTATTGAAATGAAAATCCTGATCAAAGGGCGACCGTCTCTCATTTATTTGCAACAAGAAAATGTTTTAGTGACCAGAGTTTAATTGGTGGATGATGGCTAGCAGTGAGACCCAGCATGCGAATTTCGTCCTATTTGGGACTCGTCAGCTAGATGTACCTGCATTCCCCAGTGAGTGATGATGTTCCCACTGAGGCTCCAACGCAATGCCCATAGTTTCCAATGTCAAAACGTTATCCACTAGGCCACTTGGGCCACGAGAGCCACTGCCTCTTGTGCAACGGGTCATATTAATTATTTAATTGAATTTTAGATTTTCTCATCGGTTGATTAGACCTAAGTGCTCGGTATTGGGTTGATATTGGTTGGCTTTCGACACATCCAGATGAGGAGCCTCAAATAGGACGAAATGCGCTTTATCCTGGATTTCACTGTTAATCATCATCAACCAATTAACTTCTAATTACATGCCTAGGTTTTGTCGAAGCATCTACACAAGAAGTCGACATGTCAACCTGTGACAAGAGTTCGTTTATACTTTAGTCATAATCTATTTATGAAAGCTGCTGATAATAAGGTGTTATATAAGCTGAAATAAGTAGAAAGAGATTCGAACTCTGGACGTAATGTGACTGGAAATCGATTGCCTAAGCTAGTGAGGCAAATAAGTGGGCATTTGAATTCCGAGCTTATAACATGACAAACTGCTGTCATGAATCTTTTCTTCGGTTAAATATTATCTTAAACCACATACAGAATAAAGCGAATCAGCTTACATTCTCCAATTGTATTTCTCACCAGCAGTCTAGGCTCCATATAAATGCACATCACTTCTAATTTTTCACCTTCACGTATATCAAGTAGACCAGCTTCACGTAAATCTAGTGAATTTTTCAGTAATTCTGATGTTCTTGAATCTTCTAACCAACTAGTTGGATTTGAACCTTTGAATCCAAATAAGCCTTCACCAACAACACCAACACCACCACGACAGCTGCCACCGTCATTATCATCATCATCATCATTATCGTTGCGGAGAATTTTCTCATGATGTAGATTATCATTGGAATTGCTAGTAAAATTATCTTGATTAGTAGTCGGCAAAAATTCATGAGTGAGTATGCTCGATTCTTGTGACCAACCTTTGTTGAATATTAAATGAGGTAAAGGCCGAACTGGTTGTCTTGTACACGTTTTTAGACGCTTGAACAACACATTTCACTGTTTCTTCAGGATTTATCTATGAATAAATATAAGGTTTAGAATATATATATATATATATATATATATATATATATATATATATATATATATATATATATATATATATATATATATATATATATATATATATATATATATCCCTTGGTTAGACCAAATTCCATTTCTAGACGTGGAATTAACAAGAGCAAATGATGGAACTCTGAAGACATTCATCCAAAGAAAACCAACTTGGAATTATCAACTAACGAACTTATATAGTTGGGTACTTTTGATGTGATTGTGTTTTCTGAGCTGGACAGTTAATTTGTGAAGCTTTCATCACCCTACTAGGCGAGATCTTCAGCGCATACTTCAGTTTGTTGAAGTGAGCTTTCAGATTTCTCCACGAGTTTATTAATCATCTCTCCTGGTGACTTTGGACGTGATTGGTTGTTTTTTGTTTTTGTGCGTTTTCACACCCTCTAGGTTACTTGTATTGGAACTGACATATACCCCTAAGCCAACCTATCAAACCAAAAGCCCCCAAGGAAAGCACAAAGAAAATCGCCTTACCATATATAAAGGATATCTCAGAAATCATAACAAGACTCTTCAAACCTTTAGGAATTAACGTCGTACACAAACAAACAAAGTCACTTCACTCAATTCTATCTCAATCAACCAGGATAAATTTTAGCAACCGCGAAAAACACTACATTGGCCAAAACTGGACGTCCCTTTCGTCTTCATATCCACGAACATAAGCTAGCCGACAAAAGACATGATATCCACTCCCTCATATCGCCTCACTGCATACAGACAACCACGGACATCAATTCGACTGGGACAACCAACGTTGAAATATTAGGCAGAGGAAACAACAAGAATGCTAGAGAAGTTTTAGAAGCCTGTCTGGTATTCCGGTGAATCATCAATCAATAGACACATCGAGATAGACAAAATTTATCAACCGATAAGAAGAAGGAAATCTCACACACAATGGGTCAAAGTTCAAGTCAAAGAAACAATCAGTGTCAATACAAGGAACCTAGAAGGTGTGAAAATACACAAAAACAAAAACGACCAATCACGTTCAAGGTCACCGACGAGGAGAGATGATTAATGAACTCGTGGAGAAATCTAAAAGCTGACTTCAACGAATTGAAGTATGCGCTGAAGATGTCGCCTACTGAGTAGGGCGATGAAAGCTTCGCAAATCAACTATCCAGCTCAAAGAACACAAGACTACATCAAGATCATCCAGCTGAGCTACAAATGTTCTCTGTCATATCCACAAGACAATCTATCTTGTAACTCTTTCAGCCACTGGGACTTAACTCCTTATTGATCAGCCAGCTGCTAACAATTCAAGATACGGCACAAGCACTAGCCAGTGTTAACGGCGAGTATTTGGCCTCATATTCGACCGTGTGTACCCCGACTAGTCACAACTTCCCACTAGAACCCAGTCAATTACCTACCTGAAGAGTTTTAAAGTAGTCCAACTAATCAACTCTCTGGTAGCACTCTCAGCTGGTTTTCCAATGGTTCTCTAATCAATGTGAGCTCATGATGCGATCCAAATCCCCGCAAACCTACACAAAACATTTTTTTAGAACTTTTCACCTTTATTATAACATAAGTATGAGTTTAACAGTATGTCACTTATTCACAATGTAATTTTGTCTTGTTTTTTATACTAAAATGTATGTCATTCAAGTTTGTCCCTTTACCACAAGCTCCTAATTCAAATTGTTCAGAAGAATTATATGAACTCGTTGATGATGAGCATAAATCGATAAATCAAACAACAGATCAATGTAATCAACCAGTGAAGAAACTGAAACCACCAGGGAAAAAGTTAAATATGGTAAGTATACCTTATTTGTTTTAACAATCAATCATTCAGTGGGATTTTTATAGCTGGTGATATTTGATGAAATATATAAAAGGCTCATTTCAGCGCTTTAAGATTGTGTCATCTTCGACACAGTTACAATATGCGACCATTCATCAAAAATAATACAGCAGTCTGTTTCGTGAAAAATTGCTGTAAAAATTGTAAAACACAAAAACATTAGAGGTTTGACGATATTAGATAGTTGGAGGCAATTGGCCGAAGTAAACCTCGGATCTAGGTTTTTCGTACTAGTTGACACTCGTCAGCAAGGCGTGTCTGCAACCTTGAAGGAACTCATATCCTTCCTGAGATTCGAACCCGCGTCACCCAGTGCTGCAGTCAGAGACGTTATCACTGAGCTATTCAGGCTTGCGATTGACCTCCTGTAGAACTGTAGTGGGTAGTTTGATTGGACACTAGTAACTAGTGTGGCGTGTCTAAGTAGGGAACTTCTGAGGCACTAGGTAGGATTTACAATAAAGCAGGAATTAGGGTGACATTCACACCTACAAACTCAATCAAGTAGAACACGCTTTGTAGGCTAAAGGACCCTGTCGGTTAGCCCAATTAAACAAAATAATATAATTTACAAAATACCTTGCGATGACCGTGAGTTAAGTCAACTATATAGGTCAAACCAGTAGATCGGGGTAGTCACGTTGTCAGAACATAAGAATTTAGTGGCTAAGGTTAGAATGATTGATCCTCCGAAGATAAGTAATTTAGAAAAATATCTCAGTGATACTACTGCATGCATTGATACACAACCACACAATAGAGTGGGACAAAGTTACAATTCTAGAAAGTAACATAAGTTGGTGGATAGTGAGACAGCTTGATTACTGTATCTTGGTTCACCGAGTCTACACCGAACACAATACATACAATAAGAATGACTCATCACGAATACCGGAAATATGGAAAATATTACTAACAATCAAATCAAGAGATCAAAAAAAATTAGAATCATATTAACAAAGTTGTAAGGTTATGTGAGTAACTTGATATGATATGAATATGAACTGCAGTAATAAACTGTGCACGATACTGGGTTATTAGTCAATATAACACTGTATAACACTGTGAGACTTTATTAAAATTTTAAAAAAATATTTCTCCATATTAGAATTAGAGGATTTCTAATAGAAATGTTATTGGATGAAGGATTTCATCATGAGCTGACATCAGTTAGAGAACCGTTGGAAAACCAGTCGGGAGTACTGGACAGCTGTTTCATCAGTTTAGTTTGGGACTTTTCAGGGTTTGAACTGAAGAATTTCTGCTTACAAGGCCAACAAGCTCGTAGACTATTAAGCCACTGGGACCCAATCGATCCAGTGGCCAGTCTATGAATTATAACTTCTGTCAATTCATGACATAGCATGACCACTTCGCAATGTCTTCTTCAATGAGTTACTGCCTCACCTTCAACCTGTTATTATCATTGTTTTTGAGATAGAGCTAGTTGGCTATCGTAGACTGGAAGAGTGAATTAACCATCACTATTTGTAGTTACCTATTGGCCTCTGATGAATCCACTCTGATTATACAATCCTCTTACTCTGTGGAACAGAGACCAGTATATGAACGTATAATACACGACTACAATAAACTAGCAACCTCTTAATCGAATAAACAGAAAATTTATAACACCTAAAACATGTATTCCTCCAAACGTCACTAAATATCGAATGCCTGTCTTTCCTATTCACATGTCATGCATACAGAGTACACTGAGAACTGAAGGACTATTCACTAGAATGTTCTGTGGGGAAGTCATGGGTTTCAAAACCTGATTAAATCAAAAGGTAATGTCAGTCAAAGAATATTTCGAGAACAAACAGCGCTGAAGTGTCGTCTATTGCTACAGTGATGACCCCAATGGCAACAGCTAGTACCACGTCTAGGTCTCATGTATGGCACACTAATGCTTGGACAGCTGAGATGAACTAACCTGTCTTTTGTATCAATTATTCCAAAGAGGTATTTAGTTGCTCACGGATGTGACAATGGAAGACGAACACTTCAGAAGTCAGAAAAACATTTCAACTGTTCGCAGATTGTAATCTAGAATGATCCGTAAATGTTTTCAAAACTTTCCAACATTTGAAGTCAGCTGGGCTGTGAAGCGTGCATACTCAACTCAAAGTCACTTAAAGATTCCTTCATGAGTGCAGCAATTTTTATTAAATGAAACGATATTGTCACAATTGAATTTTTTTGATTTTCCCGTCGATTGATTGGGCCGAAGTGCTCAGTCTCAGGTTGACATGTCGGCTTCTTGTGCAGATGCTTCGACGATGTCTGGGTATTTAATTGGTGTACAATTGGTGGATGGTGGCTAGCAGTGGAATCCAGGATAAAGCGTATTTCGTCCTATTTAGGACTCGTCATCTGGATGTACCTGCATTTCTCAGTGAGTGATGATGTTCTCACCGAGGCTCGAACCCAGTAACCATAGTTTCAAACGCCAAAGCGTTATCCACTAGACCACTTGGGCCGCGAGAGCGACTGCCTCTTGTGCAACGGGTCATATTAATTATTGAATTGAATTTTTTTGATTTTCCACCAATTGTACACCAATTAAATACCCAGACATCGTCGAAGCATCTGCACAAGAAGCCGACATGTCAACCTGAGACAGAGCATTTCGGTCCAATCAATCGACGGGAAAATCAAAAATTCAATTCAATAATTAATATGACCCGTTGCACAACAGGTGGCTCTCGTGGCCCAAGTGGTCTGGTGGATAACGCTTTGGCGTTTGAAACTATGGGTACTGGGTTCGAGCCTCGGTGGGAACATCATCACTCACTGAGAAATGCAGGTACATCCAGCTGATGATATTGTCACAAGTTTGAGAAATGACAAAACTGAATGAAAATTGAAAGAGTGAGTATACTCGGTATTCGTGTGTTCTCAAAGCTGGATAGTTTAATCAAGAAGCTTTCATTATGCATTTCTAACAACATCTTCTACACGAAGTTGAGTGTGAGCAAATGAAATGACATGAAATTTTACCTCATGGGATCATGAAATGAAAAGTATAGGACTTTAAGTAAGCGAATGTATTCGCAAGGTACCCATTTGAGAAGGAAAACGCTGATAAATCAAGAAATAATAGAAAACTTTGAGCAGTGAGGTACAGCAGATCGGGTGTGAGAAAAAATTCTCGCCAGCAATGATACTGACTAGCGCCATCTATGCTGTATCACACGTGAATTGTCAGAAGTTGGAATTCATGGATTGACCATCGGATTGGTGGCTCCCAATAGCTTAATGTTCTACGAGCTAGATCACCTTGTAACTGGAAGGTCGTGGGTTGGGACCCTGGGAGTGGGGTAGATGCTTACTACTGAAGAGTCCCGAACTAGGCTGACGAAGCGTCTGGCTGTCCAATCCTACAAGGTGGTTTTCAAGTGGTTTGCCAGCTGATATCAGCTCATGATGAAATCCTGTAAAACACCAGAAGGATTCTTGTTGCGATGAAAATGTCTGTATTCCGGGGTCTCATGGGGGAAGAAAATTGTTTGAAACATCTCTAATTCGGTTTAAATCACACAGACTTCTTAGATTTGATGTTCCTCAACTTCAATAAAGTACTGTACTTGCTATATACTCTAATATTTCACAAACTATCTCAATCAAGCTAGTCTTTCAAGGAACCATATAAATAATGATGATTTTTGAAGGATACCAGATCATAATAGCAAAATTAATACATTCTGAATGAGAATTGTCACCCAGAACGATTTATTGCAAAGTCTATGAATCCTAGACCACAAAAGCCGCCCATGCTTAGCATCCCGAAAAACTACTCTACATGAACCTTCAATTCAATGGAGATTTATCTGCAGAAACACTGAAAAATCGACTGTCCCTTTCACTTAAGAAAACCTTCTTCGCAGCTGAACTACGGCTAACCTTCTCCACGAAACCTATGATTCATGTGAACGTGAAGGATAAGCTACCACTGCTGGCCTCATTAGTGTGTATCCACTAATCTACCTGCTCGTGTGGAGCCAGGTATGTCGGCCATACCCAGCGTTCGCTATCCAAACATATCACCGAACACTTACCAACATGGTTTTACAAAGGAGAAAAACGATGTCCCCACAGCTCTATCTTGGAACATCTGATAGATTCCGGACACCAAGCTACACCCCAAAACAAACTTCAAAGTCGTCTACAAAATACTAAGCATCCTTCCTAAAAGTGTACGAGTTGAACTACTTTAATGCCTAAAACTAATAATGCTAGTCGAATGTATGGTACTATTAAAATACATAAACCAGGTTACCCCATACGACCAATAGTAGATTTTAGAAATACCCCTACTTATGAATTATCAAAACACTTAGCTCTAATATTATGCCGCATTAGAAATCGTTCAAACTCTAGACTAACTAATCGATATGAGATGTGTTTGAACAAAGCAAGAACAACATATGAGATGAAAAATAAACTAAACAACATTCAACTAGAGAATGATGAAAAATGGTTAGTTTTGATAGATAACTAGTCTTTATACTAATATACCAGTCAATGTGGCAGCCTTAGAAGCAGTTAAAAGAGAACTAACTGCTGATCCTGAACTCAATCATAGGACACAGCTGCCATTGAACAAATTATTTTTGGGATTCAGTTATGCCTCATATCTACTATCTTTAAATTCCAAGGTAAAATATATAGGCAAATAGAAGATGTAGCAATGGGATCAACAATATCCCCTATCGTAGCAGACGTATTTATGGACAGCTGGGAAAGTAATGCTCTTAATACGTTTACTCCTACTCCAAAAATATGGTGGAGATATGTGGATGACACTCTCACTCACAGTGTTAAAAACAGAATATATCCCACTCTAGCTTCTTGACACACATAAACACACTAGTGGAGGGAATAAAATTCACATCTGAATCGGAAAATGAACAAGGAGAACTAGCTAGCTATGTTAGATTGTAAAATAAAACGAATAGAAGAGGGTAAACTACACACTAGTGTGTACAGAAAACCAACTCATTCTAATAGATACTTAGACTTTAATTCACCTCATCCATTGACTGTTAAGGCAGGCTTAGTTAAGTGTTTAACAAACCGAGCAGTAGCACTAAGTAGCACAAGAAAAGACCTTAATGACGAACTAAAACAGACAGAAGAGGCTTTGGTGTTGAATAAGTATCCTTTAAAACTCATTAGGAAGATCAGAAAAGGTCAAATGCAAAATAACAATAATAGTGAAACTAGTAATGATAACATAAGTAAGAGAGAATACAATTAGAAATTTACTGTCATACCATATCAGGAGGGGACATCTGAGACCCTACGTAGGATTCTAAATAAAGCAGGCATTAGGGTGGCATTAAAACCTACAAACTCACTCAGTGACAAGCTCCATAGGTTAAAGGACCCAGTTTGCCCCTTTAGGCAAAATAATATAATTTACAAAATACCCTGCAATGACTGTGAATGAGGTGAACTACATAGGTCAAACTAGTAGTAGATCAGGGCTAGTCAGATTGTCAGAATATAAGAATTTAGCTAAGATAAGAATGGTTGACCCCGAGAAGATAAGTAATTTAGAAAAAAGCTCAGCAATCGCACTGCTTGCATTGACACACAACCACACAATAGGGTGGGATAGGGTTAAAATTGTAAAAAGTAATCTAGAAAGATGGAGAGAGAGGTTGATTACTGAATCCTGTCTGGTTCATTGAGTCTACACCAAACACATACAATAGGAATGATTCATCACTCATACCTGATATATGGAAAATACTACTGCCAATAAAATCAAGTGAAAAATAATGGAGCTATATAAATGAAGTTAAGAAGTCGTGTGAGTACCTTGATATGATTATGAGTGGCAATAAATTGTACTCGAAACGTCATCAGTAAACATTACTGTATAACACTGTGAGACTTTATCAAAACAAAAATTTACCCATAATGGAATTATACTCTACCACAGTGCACAAGTTTTATTCTTATATTAATGATTCTGAATTGTAATATTTTACATTCTCAACCTTCTTGTTCTCTGTCCCCACCGGATTTAATTTCTACACCTCACTACCACTGTTACTGACTTGACCAATGCTCAATTTCTAGTCATTTATGTTACGTCATCTAATTTATTTACTCAATTTTAGTTCTAGTTTAAATGGCATTATTCTCTACATAACCTCTACTTAGTCTCTATTTATTTTATTTTTATTTTTGATTACAGCTTGACTCCACACCGTATTTTTGGTACAAGTGTGGAATTTTCAGCGTGGATATCGGTAGCCCAAAATTCGCAGGCCGACCATAGATATCAGGTGTGCGTCGGCGTGGGCTTGAACCCCGTACCATGTGCATGGTCGGCGAGAGTCCTAACCACTGTGCAAACGACGCACACGTCTACCTGTAATTACCTCTGTTGCTACCCTGACCTAAGTTGAAACAATTTGGTCAATTATATCACGTCATCTAACTAACTAACTCAATCTTACTTTAGTTGCTGTCTAATTAACCTTGTTTCCATATTAGATCATTCTTATATTACCTAATTAATTTTCTAAACTTGATAAACCTCATGTACACACATAAATAATTATATATAAATGCGATTGTACAGCCATGTGAATGAATTCGTTGAACATCTTTCCTTTTTCACATGACTCAATGGGGATATTTAAGCTACATTCTGAATAAATATGAAAATTTCATTATGAACTGATATTGGTTAGAGAACCATTGTGAAACCTGGGAGTACTGAACAGCTGTTTTGTCAGTCTAATTTGGGACTCTCCATCAATAGGTACCCATCGAGGTTCGAACCGAGGACCCAAATCCCTACAAACCAATACTTGAATATCAATGAGATGCTCACTGGCGACTGCCCTTATCCAGGTAGGTATTTACCTGGGGTTCTAGCGGTAAGTCGTGACCAGTAGGGTGCAGCAGGTCGGGTGTGAGGACAAATACTCGTCTAAGACATTGGCTAGCAGTTGCGCCATATCATGAATTAGCAAAAGTTACAATTCATGGGTCATTGGATCGGTTCCCAGTGGCCCAATGGTCTACGAGCTCGTCTTGTAACCACAAGATCCTTGATTCGAACTCCAACGGGGCAAGTGCGTACTGAGGAAGAGTCCCAAACTAGGACGAAACAGCTGTCCAGTGCTCCGAACTGGTTTTCCAATGGTTCTCTAACCAATGTCAGCTCATGATGAAATCCTGTAACCAATCAACCAATTCCCTACAAACTAATACCTAAATATGAAAATACTTCACAGTTTTATCCTGGACTGATATCAAATTGTTAAGTGGACATGTGAATTTTTATTTTAAGCACTGGGCTATTCACTTTTTTTCTCTTCTTTCCATTGTTATTTCTTTAAAAGATCAATAGATTTGGTGCTTCATTTCGAGTAATCACTGATAAGAAGGTGAATTCTTTGGTTAACCAATTCAGTAATCATCTAACAACTCCTGGATATAGTCCAGTGAAAGTACCGAATAAGGAGAGAACACTGATTACTGAAAAATTTGATAGCAATCAAGACTATAAAGTAAGGAAGCAGCTTGCATCGATTTTTCCTTCTTCTCATTTTTATAATTATATAACTTTATTATCTACTGTGATGTTATGAATTTAAAATACTGTCCAGCAGGAATTACGTGCTGTAGGTACTTTGGTTGATCACTATCTAAGTAAAACGTAGTAATATGCAATTCAAACACACACACACACATACTCAGACAGAAGTATGAATGTCTTGACAAATGTGACCACTTGGGTCACTAGTGGACGATGCTTTACCATTTCAAACGACTATAACTGGGCTTGAATCTTGGTTGGAACACCAATATTATTATTATTATTATTATTACTGTTCCCTTGGGTTCCGAGTGGAACATACGGCGTCAACAGCACGTCTGCGCTTTGACGACTTCTCTGTAATCCTCCTTGGCTGGGCCTACGATCGACTGTAATCTCTCTCACCTCCTTCTTCACATCACACAATCTCCTCCATGCCAACCTCCGACGATCGCACAACTCGTCTTTTCTCATTCGGATTCCACTCAAAAGATGACCTGCATTAAGAGCGATGTCATTCAACGGTCTCCTCAATGGTGTGTGCGCAGTCTATCTCCATTTTCTCCAACATATTTGTTGAATGACCAAATTGGTTCTTGGTTGGTTTGTTCATTACCAGAGTTCCCTCCTTTCTAATTCTTTCCGACCAGCCATTTAATATTCAATATGGAAGCATCTAAGTCAGCTGATGATAGAAATCAGCTCTATCCTGTTAGAAATGCTCAGTGCAAGTTTCTCACTCATATAAAAGTGGTGACAGACTAATTTCGAATTTGTGTTGAAATTCTGAAGCCTATGTTTCACGCTGAAGCGGAGTGCAGAAGATTTCTAAAGTAATTTCGGATTGATAACGGGTGTATCTTGCCTTTCCGATTCTGGCTGGCTTTAACATTCTCATCCGTTCCGCCCGCCAATTGTTGAAACGATGCTGGCTGCCTAGATACGTGAAGGAAGTAACCTTTGTCAAATCTCTCCCGTTGAAAGTGATTAGTGCTGGAGTTACTGCTGTTGGTTGGTTACACCTTCATCACCCTCACCTTCTCTATGTTCATCTGGAATTCATGTCCAAACTTTTGGAAAGAAGTCGACTTCTGTTGATAATATTCACAAAGATATTTTGAATTTATGCGCAGAAAGTAAAGTGGTCTATACTGTCTCTATACAGGTTTAATCTAGTAAGACAAGCCATGCAGATGCACCGGGATCTTGATGACTGAATAAACACCAGTTAGTGTGTTTATTACACACCAACAAAAGTTCAGTATCACCCTTAAATGACCTTAACGATCAGGTATTTTATTGCCATTCTGAGTAAAGAGCATTCGAAAGCTACAATGATGAACACTACCTTGAGGTTGTTTATACTGTCTTGCTGACAACTTCATATAAGTATGAGTTCTTGATATCAGTATAAAACTTGGGCAGCATTATGGTAGAGTATCATTCCATTATTTTGATAGTCACACAGTGTTATACAGTAATACTTACTGATGACCACATTTCGAGTACAGTTTATTACAGCTGATAATCATATCAAGGTATTCAGTCACACTACTTTCTTGCTTCATTTATATACGTAAGCGAAACTGATTAGACATTTGAATAAAGTCAATATAAGACTTGCGTGAAACACAAAGGCAGATAAATTACATTAGGAAACAATATTATTTTTGTCAATAAATTAAGATGAGTGTTGTTAGCCAACAAGATGGGAAATAAGATGTTTTCATGGTAAAATAAATAACTTTTTAGAATGTTATAATGCAAAATTGAAATATATTTTAACATTTTCAAAAAAAAATGGATACTGAACAAAGAGTACTCTTTTCGATAACCCCTTCTTCATCAGGCTCTATAGTTATATATACACATTATAGTGAATGGATGAATGAATTAGTGTTATGCACAACATTAATGTCATTTGAATAACGTCGAATCAATAATATGAATAGATTACAGCTCAATAGCATCAACATAAAATAAGCTGAATATCAGAAGAATTAGGAAAGATGATAATACAAATTTATGAATTTATAGTCTCTGCTGAAAGCCGGCCAGAGCAGTAGTAGTGGCTAGCTGGACTTGTTTCTTTTGAACACAAAGCACTGGTTGTTTGAGGCGAATTGCGATAGCCTATGCTGTTCGGAGCATGTAGTACTTCGATGTTTTTGGCAATTTAATCGGTAATAATATCTTCCATATCTCGGGTATTTTCGTTGAGTCACTTCTATTGCATGGGTTGCGTGTAGACTAGATGAACCAGACAGGATTCAGTAATCAACCTCTCTCTCCATCTTTCTAGATTACTTTTTACAATTTTAACCCCATCCCACCCTATTGTGTGGTTGTGTGTCAATGCAAGCAGTGCGATTGCTGAGCTTTTTTCTAAATTACATATCTTCTCGGGGTCAACCATTCTTATCTTAGCTAAATTCTTATGCTCTGACAATCTGACTAGCCCTGATCTACTACTAGTTTGACCTATGTAGTTCACCTCATTCACAGTCATTGCAGGGTATTTTGTAAATTATATTATTTTGCCTAAAGGGGCAAACTGGGTCCTTTAAACTACGGAGCTTGTCGCTGAGTGAGTTTGTAGGTTTTAGTGCCACCCTAATGCCTGCTTTATTTAGAATCCTACGTAGGGTCTCAGATGTCCGCTCCTCATGTAGTAAAACTGCTGTCGATGCCTTATATTCTCTCTTATTTATGTTATTATTATTCGTTTCAAAATTATTTTGATTTTGCTTTTGGTCTTTACTGATCTTGCTAAAGAATTTTATAGGACAGTTAGTTATTTAACACCAATGTTCCTTCCGTCTCATTTCACTATTTAGGCTTTTTATTGTACTACTTAGTGCTATCGCTCAGTTTGTTCGACATTTAACTAAGCCTGCCCTTACAGACAGATAACAGATAAGATGAATTAAAGCCTAAATATCTATTTGCAGAATGCATTGGCCTTTTATAAACACTAGTGTCCAGTTTACCTTCTTCTATTCGTTTTATTTTACAATCTAACATGATAGCTAATTCTCTATGTTCATTCTCCGATTCAAATGTGAGTACCTTGATAGGCTTATAAACAGTAAATAAGTTGTGCTCAAAACTTCGTCATCAGTAAATATTAGTGTTTAACACTGCATTTGACTTGATCGAAATAAAAATGTTATCCGTAATGGAAGTATGACCTTTCCTTCCAAGGGTCCCAACCAACTATCTCCAATTAACCGCTTAAGCTACAATCATTGTTGATTATGAACACTATCGATTTCACCCTTAATTTGTTTCTAAACAGTAATATATATATATAATAAGGTTTCTTGTATTTCCCAATGAATGAAAAAGAGCAAAACGATATTGTTGTTGTGTTTTACTGACGTTTCGCTATTTAATCCTGCTGCTAATAGCTTTATCAAAGTATTATTAAACTAGCATTTACAAAATCTCATTTTATATATAACAACTTAATCATCGTTCCTCAGCATGGGATCATTTTTGCGTTGTCAAACTGGCCAATTGGTAAAGATAACAAACCCAGGTGTAGATTGTTGGAATTGATAAGTGTGTAAAATAATAAAAGCAGCATGCGCTTACATGATGAAATTACTTATCACATTCGTGTTGATTTTGTCACTTCATGGGGGAGGTGTTGTAACCAGGTCAGATTCTGTTTTAATCCATCATTCCCAATTCAGTTCACACAATTTGGATTCCACTTGATATGAAGTGCTTCTGATATTAAACGTTCTTTGTGATTTCTAAAATGCTTTTTCTGGATTATTTCAATATTGTCAAAATCAATTTTGTAGCCTGATCCTCTTACAATATGTAGACCACCAATTGTTGGTGATTTTTCAAGCTTTTCTAGTTCACTGACTGGATTTCTCGGTGGTTGAAGAGATGCTCTATGGTGTTCATTTCTTCTGATTACCTTGATTTCTCGAGATTTTTGTCCAAAGTATATCGCATCACATTGTTTCGTGGTGTGTCTGATGTTACGAAGAAAACTCTGATGTTGAACTGATTGAGTACTCTTCTGATATCGTCTAACGTCTCGATTCTATATGAATTAAGTTGTTATATATAAGCTGAGTGGATTTTGTAAATTCTGGTTTAACAATACTTTGATAAAGCTATTAGCATAAAATAGCGAAACGTAAATAAAACACAATTATATCATTCTGCTCTGTATTATAATGAATATCATATACCCAATGGCTAAATTTTTTAAACCTGTTAAAAGTGAACTTGATTTGGGCACTTCAAATATATGTATATATGTGGTAGGAGCAGCCTGCTAGCCAATTGGTTGACATTATTCTACGTCAATGTCTAGATCACTAATATGGGCTGTGAGAAAATATGAACAAGGCTGTTTCAACAACCAATCACAGCAAACTTAAACGTGGGCAAATATGATTCGCAGATAGATGGCTCCACTTTCCGAGGAACTCGAAAACAACCAATCAGAAGACTGCGTTTGTCTACTGGACTAGGCTATAATAATGTATGTGAAATTTATATAAATACGTGTTGATTTCCATAATAAAACGATCTGTTGCCTGGCCCTTGTCTTCTGTTGTTACACATAAATATATATATATATATTTGAAATGTTATCTAATTAAGCGTTCACTTGAGGTAATGTGTTTTGATGTGTATACATTCTATACAGGTAGATGGGGCATTCATTAATCATACCAATAAATTTTGTGATAAACTTGATGAGAAAGAGTCAATACAAAGTTTAACCAGTAGATGTGATTATTTACAACCGAATTCTTCAAGATTACAATCTAAAGTAAGTAGAACGTTTAAAATTATTTCTTTTAGAAAATAAATTTCAGCAACGAATACGCTTTTTTGATAATTTCCTCTTCTGACTCTACAGTTATATATATATATATATATATATATATTAGATGGTTGGAGAGAGTCTGCAGGAAGCCTTGCCTAAGTGAGGTTTCATGTTAATTGGAACTCATCAGCAAGGCATAGCTGCAACTGTCTTGAAGTAACTCATGTCTCTTCTGAGATTCGAACCTGCGTCACTACCCAGTACTGCAGTCAGAGAGAGACGCTTCCTCTGAGATATTCAGGCTCGTGATTGACCTCCTGTAAGAATGTATTGCACATGTTTTTTGATTGGACACTAGTCAGTTATTAGTGTGATGTGTCTAGTCCTTATCTTTAGCGCAGTCTGAATTCTATCAGTCAAGTTTACAATATGGTCACTATGCCACTAGGGTGGCTCGCCATCATGGTGGACTGTGAATGTTTGGTTCAAATCTCAGAAGAGACATGAGTTCTTTCGAGGTTGCAGGTGTGCCTTGCTGATGAGTGCCAACTAAAAACGAAACCTAGGTCAGGCAAGGTTTCCTGTGGCCGATAGCCTCCAACCATCTAACATCAATAGTTCACAGTGCAGTGCAACAGTAAGATGATGAGCCACCTAGTGTGTTGCATGGTGACCAAATTGCAAACTTAACTGATCGAATTCAGTCTGCATCAAAGATATGACTAGACACACACATTACTGACTAGTGTTCAATCAAATGCATATACGTATAATATTCTAGAATAGTTGTCATTAACAATAATGGCGTTCCGTTTAAATATTATCGATTTATTCAGTCACAATGGAATTACCACAGTTCAAGAAAGCTGCATAAGTTATAATAAGCATAAAAATGTAATGATAACGAGAATATTAAATAAAATTAGGGAAATTTTCACAACAAACTGAGGATCATTATGACCTTGATGACCAGGGGGTAAGGACAATGTCTGAACCAACTTCTTCTTTCGGATACACTAGTTAGGTTTTTTGATGTACATCCTAACACCCTCAGCAGTATATGATAGCAGAACTCTGGAGGTAAAGTTAAGATTATTTGGCATGTGGTGAATGACTTTAAAGGCTTCGTTTATACTAATTTTGTGATCTGAATCCACGAAATGAGAATGAATACATCCATGAATGGATTTCGTTTGTCCCTTACTCAACCAATATGCAGGATGATGTTCGGAAATCTGACGATAAACAGGCATAATTGTACGGTTTATGTAAGTGACTCCACAGGAGCAGCCAAATTGTGAGAGAAACTCATAGCAGAGGCGAAATTACGCAGTTTAATTTTAACTCCTGAACGCAAAATAGGGGTACTTTTGACTCGCCAGCCTTCTATTCTAATCACTATTAGCAGCGACAACGACGCGATACGATACCACCGAAACCGCGACTTTAGAAGACAGACCGTCGACGTAGAGAGCTCTTACTGTCCCCATATCAGCAACAAAAATGTCTAACAGTAATTGCGTATGTATATATATACATATATATATATACTTTGGATGACCTTGACAGAAGCTAATTATACTGATGAGCTAAAACGGCCAGCAACCAATAGGATTCCAAGGTCATCAACTGGGGGGTGGGAAATACAAACAGCGATATAAAGATGTGATATTTTAGGAATATTAGGTTCATATAACAGTTTTACTACCTAACTTTAGTTATAACCTTAATACTGTAAAAATTTCGTGGCTATTAGTAGACAGTATTACGAAACTGCCTTTTTCTATTCTGAGATTTTTATTGATGAATGCGCATAAAAGTGTGTGGAATGTAACACATATGATCATCTACTGCTACACGTAGAAGCAGAGAGTTCTGATTTCACCAAGTGATAACTAATTTTGTGACCATTGATAATACTGAGCAAATCACAAGATTTAATAGAAATCAGGAGTTTGAGTGTGTGTGTGTGAAAGAAATGTGCACTGTAGCCAGTGAAGTCCCTGACATGCGACTGTCGTACACTACAGTTTATCCATCATAAGAGGTTGAAAAAATGTCTTGCTAATGAGTGTGAAAAAGTAAGAAATATCGATCTACAGATCTCCCTCTCTCTCTCCCTCAAACGCAACACAATGCCCTCCGAAACGTGACGTCAGAATAGAGTGACAGATTTCCATTAAAACCTCAGTCGTTACACCTACACTGTTGAGGATATGACGACTGATTCGCATGTTGAGATGTAGAGGAGATTCGACGATTGATCAATACTAAGCAATGCGAAAATCCTCATTAAGTCATATAAAAGAAAAGGCGTTTAGCGCCTTACCATATATAAAGGATATCTCAGAAATAACTACAAGACTCTTCAAACCTTTAGGAATTGACGTCGTACACAAAAAAACAAAGTCGCTGCACTCAATTCTATGTCAACCAAAAGACTCAACAGCGAAAGAAGACAAAACCAACATCGTCTACAAAATCAATTGTAACAAGTGCGAAAAACACTACATTGGCCAAAGTGGACGTCCCTTTCGTCTTCGTATCCACGAACATAAGCTAGCCGTCAAAAGACATGATATCCACTCCCTCATATCGCCTCACTGCATACAGACAACCACGGACATCAATTCGACTGGGACAACCAATGTTCAAATATTAGGCAGAGGAAACAACAAGAATGCTAGAGAAGTTTTAGAAGCCTGTCTGGTATTCCGGTGAATCATCAATCAATAGACACATCGAGATAGACAAAATTTATCAACCGATAAGAAGAAGGAAATCTCACACACAATGGGTCAAAGTTCAAGTCAAAGAAACAATCAGTGTCAATACAAGCAACCTAGAAGGTGTGAAAACACACAAAAACAACCAGTCACGCCCAAGGTTACCAGGAGAGATGATTAATGAACTTGTGGATAAATCTAAAAGGTCACTTCAAATTGAAGTATGCGCTGAAGATGTCGCCTACTGAGTAGGTCGATGAAAGCTTCGCAAACTAACCATCCAGCTCAGAAAACACAAGACTACATCAAAATTATCCACCTGAGCTACAAATGTTCTCTATCATATCTAAAAGAAAAGGCGTTTAGCGCAGAGTTACTGTTTTCTGTAACATCATTTTTGAGCTGCACAGTCTCACATATATAGTAAACGATCTTAGAGACAAAAAGAATATTTCCAAAGATGTGTCACTAGAATTTTAAAGCTTTTTTTTTCAGATAACGAACTATGCATTATAGAAAGCTCTAATCAGGTAGAAAATGAAAAATAAAATTCAGACATAGCAATAAGAAGATATAATTTGTCTGAATCGTGTAATGTATGAGCGCAACTAATTTCGAACAATCTGATCACACACGGACTTGTCATAGAAATAAGTATATATGAAATGAATAAACAGTTAAGAGATAAGAGAAATAGAATCAGGTCAAATTAAAAGGATATATTGAAGGTAAAAATAACAATGAAGATCACTGAACCGAATAGGAGAGGTAATAGAATAACTGCCCTGACTGGTATCAAAAACGTTTACCAGGGAAGGTGGTTTAGTTAGTGTGATGACGAATTGTTGCTTCGATCACATAAAGGTGGTTTAAACTTTCTAACTGCTTCCACAGGCTTTAGGATACGTCCTCTCCCAAACACGTTTTATAGATAGGTTTAAAAAATCTGTTAACGTCAATTTTATGTCTTGTCTCTCTATAATATGTTTCGCAATAGAGGAGCTAGGTCTCCTACTCTCACCATTAAATGGGGTCTGAAAATTTTATTTGCTTCTGGAGCCATTTCGGAATATGCTCTGAAACCAGCTCTTACCTGCAGAGATCGATGAGTCCTCCCTTCTATGTATGTGTGTCCACACGTGCATTCAAATTGGTAAATACAGTGGGATGTGACATCATTTTACGCATGTTCAAAGGGCTTAGATGGATGGATGTATTGGTTTCACATTCTCAATTATTATTATACTAGCTGCATAAAAAGTCTTATTAACCACAGCAGCGTTCAGTCTTTGTCTATTTATCAAGCTGCTGTGATCCCCCATATAGGATCGGTAGGTTGATGTACACGTCTTTCTTAGAGGCGAGTTGGAGAATGGGTCTTGGTGTTCCACTGATTGCTTTATATATCCTGATGATGAACTTGTCTGGATAATTGTTATCATCAACCAGAGTTTGTGTCAACTTTCTTTCTTCCTCACCAAGTGTGTCTGTTCTCAGTGCATATTCGTTGGATTCTACTAAAGAGGCACCTCGCTTACTAAGACTCTTTTGTACTGAACAGGGCAGAAGCTGTGATGACTGAACAAACTTCTTCTGTATGCAGAGTTCAGGATTTAACATGTGAATTGACAACACGGCTGCTTCTGATGTGTTTGAAGAAGTTTGATTCGTACTCTTTTAGGAGATTCCCACGTATTCTGTGGAAAGCAACTTTGAAGTTCCTTTGTGATTGTGTTAGCTTGGTACCCATATTTGACTAGGTGCCCCAGGGTAAAACCATGAATTTGGGTAAGTGCTCGATAATACATTCAGATAGCAAATGCTGGTTACGGCCGATATACCTAGTTCCACTGGTGGAGCAGATGGATTGATAGTTGTACATTGATTAGGTAGCTAACAGTGATAGCTTATCCTCCCCTGCGTGCAAATCATTGGTTTCATAGAGAGAGTTAGCAGTAGTTCAGCCACGAAGAAGGTTTTCTTCAGTGATCAGAATAAACGATTCCTCAATATTTCTAATGATGAGTCTCCGATGGATTGTAGATTCAAGTAGAGGAATTTTTAGGAGCAGGGAGTGTGGGCGATTTAACTCATTTAGGCTGCATGAATATCGTGATGAAATGTTCTAGGCAGCCATTTTCGAGGAGGAATCTTTGTTGATAAGTAAGCTCGTGGTGAGAGATGTCTGCTAGCCCAAATTGGTAGACAGCAATTTACGTCAATGCTTACGTCCCAAATCTTGGTCATGAGAAGAAAACAAGAACAAAGACTAACTCAACAATCAATCACAGCAGACTTTGTGTCAGCGGATAAAATCTGCAGATATATGGTCTGACCTTCAAAGAAACGACCGCAAATATATGACACAATAACTTTCAGCGAGAAGACAGCCAATCAGAAGACGCTGTTTCTCTGCTAATGATGACAAACAATAATGTACATAAAAATATGTAAATATCTGTTGATTTCCTCAATAAACGATCTTTTGCCTGACCCTTGTCTTCTGCCGTTACAAGTTAACCATATATATATATATATAAGCGATTGTACAGCTTGAGGAGGATATCGCCAAAAGGAGTATATATCAAGAATTCCTATAAATTGACTTTTATAAAAAAACGTTTTCTTGATTTGGTTTCTAAATTTTTCTAATACTTTTTTGTCTGTTTTCGCCTAACAATTTAAATTTTAGGGTAGCTTTAAAGATTCTTGTTCATTATTCGGTTCAACAAGTCATCTTTCAATAAAATCGCAATCAAATAAAAAATTCAAGCAAATTAAATACAATATTATTGATTTATTTGAAAAGAAGAACTGCCTAAAATAGCAAAGTACACGTGTGCATTACATGTAAGTTAAGTAGGGTTCCTTTTTCTGTGTTCTTAATTGGATAAATAAAATGTGGGCATTTTTTCGGAAATTTCATACACATTTAATCCCGCCTTTATGAATTTGAATAAAGCAAGAACAAAAACAGTCGTTTAAGCAGACTAAAATGGTACCATCATTGTTTATTTCGTCAGCTACTCATCAGCTGCTTACAGCATAAAGCCATTATTATTAAGTTCATGCAAAGAAACAATTTTAAAATACTTACCCGCAAAGAGTTCAAGTTTAAACAAAAAATCAGTAAATGCATATAATGGTAATAATAATCATACACAATGGAATATTTCGACGTTACTTAATCAAATGAAAGACAGAATGAAAATATTCAGTGACCAAGGCAAGGAAAGGCTGATAACCACTTCTCTCTGAACACATAAATGGGGTTTCAAGTGCTTGATGGAGATTGCTTCTGCAAACTTGAGAAGAGTTGAACTCTTTTGCCTATTGATAATTTTCAAGGATATTTTGACGTTTATGTCATGACCCGTGTCAAAGAGATGCCTGGTAATGGCGCTGTTGAAAGCACTTGTTCTGTAACAACAGAAGACAAGGGCCAGGCAACAGATCGTTTTATTACGAAAATCAACACGTATTTATATATATTTTATGTACATTAATAAGGCTTATGCAAGCAGAAAAGGCAGTCTTCTAATTGGTTGTTTCTCGGAAGTTAAGCAGACAAACACAGTCTCCTGATTGATTGTTTTCGATATTTCTCGGAAAGTAGAGCCATTTATCTGCGAATCATATTCGCCCACGTTTAAGTCTGCTGTGATTGGTTGTTGAATCAGCCTAGATTAATGTCTACCAATCAGCGTCGATTAATGTCTACCAATTGGCTAGCAGCCTGCTCTCACCAGAGTTCCTTAAAGATGTAGGCGTTTCGGTACATGTTCAGAAAATCGGAGGTACGCCTTTCCTTCTGTTCTTTCAATATAACTGCTCCCAAAGATAGAGTTGGAGTTAACATGAGAAAGTTATCTGTCGACCTTTGCTTTATTGCTCCAAAGAGCATGTTGTCCGATAACAGGGAACCAACTCAGCTAGTTGCAGGACAGGCTCTGGCTAGTGAATTATTCAGTCTTCTTTTGATTATACCTGCAATACCATCACCTTCAAAATTGAGCTGAATGAAGATAGCCATTTTCCCCACTGTGATTTGTTTGGCATTAAAGCTTTAACATCTTCTGTACTTGTTAATGAATCTCTGGGAGTAACCAATGTTTTTAAACATCTTTTCAAGAATCAGAAATTCTTCCTGTAATCACTCTGTACAGCATATTCTTCTGATTCTACAGAAAAGAACTTTTACTAGTGTTCGCTTCTAGCTATATGGATAAAAACCATTAAAATGTAAATATTGTGCATGCCTTGTACGGTCTTCGGTAAACTGACCTGTGGAGACTACCATCTTCCAAGCGTTACATGGCAATGTCAAGGAAATGAAACTTTCCATCATTTCCATTTTGTATGATTGCTATTATTCGAGAAAAAGTGATTATTATTATTACCATTATATGCATATATTGATTTTTTGTTTAAAAAAGGAACTCTTTTTGTGTGAGCGTGTTATGTACGTAAACTCGAATATTTAATATTGTAATCCTTATTTCTGAGCAAATATTTTCGAAAAATCATTTAAAAAGTGTTGATACCAGTTCATCGAATTTCATTACTATTATTATTCAAGTGGCTTAATGGTATACGAGCTCGCCTTGTAACTGGAAGGTCCTGGGTTGGAATCCCGGTGGGTGCGTACTGCTGAAGAGTCCCAAACTGGGACGTTACAGCTGTCCAGTACTCCCAGGTTTTCCAATGGTTCTCTAACTAATGTCAGCTCATGATGAAATTCATTATTATTATTCCCTAGAGTTCTGATTGGAATATAGGGCTTCAACAACACATCTCTACTTTGTCCTATTTTCTGCCATCCTCTTCAGCTAGTTGGGCCCAAGATTGCCCATGATATATCCCATCTCTTCCTCTCGTGATCTCCTCCATGTCACCCTCACATTAACGACCCACTCGTTGCTTCGCGCTCGGATTCCAATCGAGTGATGGCCTGGAGCGTGATTTCATTCGACAGTCCATCTCCATTTCCGCCTACATATTTGTTGAGCGGTCGACTCATGGTTGGGTTTTTTTTTCATTGCCAGAGCATCTAATTACTTATTCTTTCTGGTCATTTGATCTTCAGCATGGAGCCAGCCATCGAAGACAACTGTTGATAAAATTCTGCAACCTGTTGGAAATGCTTTCATGACACTCAGTGCAAGTTTTTTGACGCGTATAGAAGGACCGTCCGTCTTGACACTGGGTGTTGAAAATCCGAATCTTTTGTTCTTCATGCCCTTTTACTTGATTTACTTGATTCCACATAATTACGATGGGGAGAATAAAAGGTGACAATTACTTTCAACTTGAAATAGATTACAAGAGGCTTAGAAACAAAAATTACACAGGATTAGAATATAATCGTAAAATAGTTATTCTAAACAAATTACAAGTATGAACAGGAGGAGCATAGAAACAAACTTAAAATAACTGTTCTTATAACTGAAAAGATGGGATGAATTGAATGAATACAAGGAGAGAAAAATCACACACACACACACAGCGAACAAAACAATGAACCCAAGGCTAAGGGAACATGCCGAACTAGGTCCAGGGGAGTTGTAAAGGTTGGACTAATTTCTTTTGAACACACAGCTTCGGCTTTTTTATGCATTTTGAGAGGACCCGTGCAGCACAAAAAAGTCGGAAACATACTGCTTTTGGTAGGTTTCTGTTTACTTGATAGATGACGGAATGAATCAGTTGAGGTGATGTGGTAGGTGTTGATTAGATGTTCAATTATGGTACTTCTGATTGAACCGGTGCCTCTTCTTTACAGTTATGCTGGGTAATGTTCCCAAACACTTTTTGAAAGGACGCGCATACCACGGCCTATGTGCCTAGCTCCGCACAAGCAGTGAACCGGTATACGTGCATTGAATTGGTCATAAACGACAGTTTGCCTTTTGCACTGTTTAGAAGTATTAGGCGGCTAGAGAATGCCACTCGTAGTGTTGCTGCTAAGAAGGTTTTCTTTAAAGAGCTGCCAAATCTTCCCTGAAGTTCAGATTCATATACAGAGTTTTCTTCGCCGCTGGACTGCATTCTTCTCTTTTTGGTTTAGGTTTCATGTTCTTGTCGACAAAATGTGCCGGGTGACCATTTTGAGCCAGGATATTTTTGAGGAATAAGAGTTCCTTTTCCATGCAATCACTGCTGCAGATTTTTCTAATCCGATGGGTTAATCCCATGGCGAGAGCTAGTTTTTGACTCAAAGGTATCCAACTATATGATAGAGAAGATTTGTAGCTCACGTGGATGATTTTGATGTGGTTGTATTCTCTGAACTGGGATAGTTGATTTGCGAAGCTTTCATCACGCATACTTCAATCTGAATTGAGCTTTTAGATTTATCCACGATTTCATTAATCATCTCTCCTCGTCGGTGACCTTGAACGTGATTGGTCGTTTTTGTTTTTGTGTATTTTCACACCTTCTAGGTTGCTTGTATTGGAACCGGTTGTTTCTTTGACTTGAACTTTCACCCTTTGTGTGTGAGATTTCCTTCTTCTTATCGGTTGATAAATTTTGTCTATCTCGATGTGTCTATTGATTGATGATTCACTAGACTACCAGACAGCCTTCTAAAAATTCTCTAGCATTCTTGTTGTTTCCTCTGCCTAATATTTCAACGTTGGTTGTCCCAGTCGAATTGATGTCCGTGGTTGTCTGTATGCAGTGAGGCGATATGAGGGAGTGGATATCATGTCTTTTGTCGGCTAGCTTATGTTCGTGGATATGAAGACGAAAGGGACGTCCAGTTTTGGCCAATGTAGTGTTTTTCGCGGTTGCTAAAATTTATCCTGGTTGATTGAGATAGAATTGAGTGAAGTGACTTTGTTTGTTTGTGTACGACGTTAATTCCTAAAGGTTTGAAGAGTCTTGTAGTTATTTCTGAGATATCCTTTATATATGGTAAGGCGATTTTCTTTGTGCTTTCCTTGGGGGCTTTTGGTTTGATAGGTTGGCTTAGGGGTATATGTCAGTTCCAATACAAGTAACCTAGAGGGTGTGAAAACGCACAAAAACAAAAAACAACCAATCACGTCCAAAGTCACCAGGAGAGATGATTAATAAACTCGTGGAGAAATCTGAAAGCTCACTTCAACAAACTGAAGTATGCGCTGAAGATCTCGCCTAGTAGGGTGATGAAAGCTTCACAAATTAACTGTCCAGCTCAGAAAACACAATCACATCAAAAGTACCCAACTATATAAGTTCGTTAGTTGATAATTCCAAGTTGGTTTTCTTTGGATGAATGTCTTCAGAGTTCCATCATTTGCTCTTGTTAATTCCACGTCTAGAAATGGAATTTGGTCTAACCAAGGGATATATATATATATTCTAAACCTTATATTTATTCATAGATAAATCCTGAAGAAACAGTGAAATGTGTTGTTCAAGCGTCTAAAAACGTGTACAAGACAACCAGTTCGGCCTTTACCTCATTTAATATTCAACAAAGGTTGGTCACAAGAATCGAGCATACTTACTCATGAATTTTTGCCGACTACTAATCAAGATAATTTTACTAGCAATTCCAATGATAATCTACATCATGAGAAAATTCTCCGCAACGATAATGATGATGATGATGATAATGACGGTGGCAGCTGTCGTGGTGGTGTTGGTGTTGTTGGTGAAGGCTTATTTGGATTCAAAGGTTCAAATCCAACTAGTTGGTTAGAAGATTCAAGAACATCAGAATTACTGAAAAATTCACTAGATTTACGTGAAGCTGGTCTACTTGATATACGTGAAGGTGAAAAATTAGAAGTGATGTGCATTTATATGGAGCCTAGACTGCTGGTGAGAAATACAATTGGAGAATGTAAGCTGATTCGCTTTATTCTGTATGTGCTTTAAGATAATATTTAACCGAAGAAAAGATTCATGACATCAGTTTGTCATGTTATAGGCTCGGTATTCAAATGACCACTTATTTGCCTCACTAGCTTAGGCAATCGATTTCCAGTCACATTAGGTCCAGAGTTCGAATCTCTTTCTACTTATTTCAGCTTATATAACACCTTATTATCAGCAGCTTTCATAACTAGATTATGACTAAAGCATAAACGAACTCTTGTCACAGGTTGACATGTCGACTTCTTGTGTAGATGCTTCGACAATACCTAGGCATGTAATTAGAAGTTAATTGGTTGATGATGATTAACAGTGAAATCCAGGATAAAGCGCATTTCGTCCTATTTGGGGCTCGTCAGCTGGATGTGTCGAAAGCCAACCAATATCAACCCAATACCGAGCACTTAGGTCTAATCAACCGATGAGAAAATCTAAAATTCAATTAAATAATTAATATGACCCGTTGCACAAGAGGCAGTGGCTCTCGTGGCCCAAGTGGCCTAGTGGATAACGTTTTGACATTGGAAACTATGGGCATTGCGTTGGAGCCTTAGTGGGAACATCATCACTCACTGGGGAATGCAGGTACATCTAGCTGACGAGTCCCAAATAGGACGAAATTCGCATGCTGGGTCTCACTGCTAGCCATCATCCACCAATTAAACTCTGGTCACTAAAACATTTTCTTGTTGCAAATAAATGAGAGACGGTCGTCCTTTGATCAGGATTTTCATTTCAATAAAATTCGGGTTGAAATATATAAGAAGATCAGGGTGGACGATGTCATGAACCTAAGTGACTCACAGTTTTATCGAAAACGAAGGTGTTTCCACTCATTAGCATTATCCATCCACTCACAGCACAGCAAGGTATCACTCAAAAAGCTTCGATACAATGTTTCATGAATTGCCAAAATTAGTAAATCGTGATTCCTTAGATTCTGACCGAGTAGCCGAATCGTGAAATTCAGTTATGAAAACATAACGAATGTAAACTCACGGAATATACACATTGGATCATAGAAATTATTATAAAGATGGTTGCATCGAGGAAGAAAATTTTCTTTTCGACGAAGTCATCATCTAGGAGGCTGTACATTCTTGTATTTATGATAAATGAGTGGGAAAGTTCCAGAATAATTTCCAGTCGATGCTTAAATTAATAAAATTACAATTAGGAATTAAAATGCCATAATAAACAGAGTGGGGGAGGGGTGATGGACGGATAAAACTCAAACAAAGCGGCATCATAATTACTGACAAGATTGACATATTGTGCAATTGGGGGTTAAAAATATAGAAATAACAAAAATAGACAGGAAGTTTGGATAAGAAAGGCAATGGGATGGTCATTACTAAAAGAGTAAAATTAAGACATCTGTGCATCATAGCCGAGGCACTACCACCTGCCCTATGTACCCAAAAGAAACACGTCCGACGTTTATCGCTGCCATAGCCATCATAAAGAGGTAGTTCTTATGATAGTTACCATCCTATTGCCTTTCTTATCCAAAGTTACTGTTTATTCATGTTATTTTAAAGTTTTTCTTAATCCCTATATACACTACCATGTTTTCATATCCAAACTTCTTGTATATTTTGTCATTTTATTATTTCTACATATTTAATCCCTGATTGCATAAACAATTATTCATCACATTAGTTATGATCCCACTAGATTTTTTTATTCAAACATCCCGTCTATTTTTGTTATTTTTGCATTTCTAGCCCCCTAATTGCACAATATATCAATCTTCTCAGTAATTATGATGCTACTTTGTTTGAGTTTTATCCGTCCGCCACCTGTTGATTATGGCATTTTAATTCCTAATTTTAATTTTACTAATTTAACCCTGTTGCGTACGTTATTAGACTAAATCGGCGTACACGTATTTCCTAGTACTTCGCTATTGTTGAACTTCGCCTATCAATGTGCATAGACGTTGTGGCTACTCGACGCCCACAACGTAAACCCAAAAGGCACTTGCGAAGAGTTAGACTGTGTATTATAGCCGTAGTCAAATTTCGAAATTGTGTCAAGGTAATGTTCAACAGTAAAAATGACAAATGTTTGCGAAGTACACATATAAAATCGGTCTTTGTAAACATATAATACAAGTATACAAATTAGATTAAAAAGCGTGTTTACAGTTGATATAGGGGTACTACAATCCTTAACCGGAAATTATTCTGGAACTTTCCCACCCATTTATCTTAAATGCATGAATGTATAGCCGCCTAGTTGACGGTGACTTCGTCGATAACAAAATTTCCTTCCTCGCTGCAACCATCATTTTAATAATATAACTCAATGCTGTGCATATTCATGAATTGCACAACTGTAGAGTCTTGAGCTGAGACGAAACAGCTATCTAGAATACTTGTCAACTGGATAACTTTGTGTCATACCTTATTTGCGGATCATAGCTAGAGAGTGGAGTAAGCAAAGCGGGGTTCTTATACCGAACATATAGAATGAGAGTCATTTTGCAAAACAAAAGATAATAATCCACAAAGGATTTACTGCGCCACAAAACTCCACACTTCACCGTTTAACGACACGTCTACATCTGCAGTTGAACTTTTCTCCAGATTATAAAGCCAAGTGGTGAGGTTATTACATTGTACTTTTTCTTCGGTTTCTTTCAGTATCCCGGTTACCGGTAACCGACTTCTAAATTAATCTACAATTCCAATTTCTGCCAGTTCACAAGATAGCACTACCGGCACTACCCAGTGTCATTGCTGAGGGGTATTTACCCTCACCTGCTGTATCTGACTGGCTACGACTTCCTACTAGAACCCAGTTAACTACTTACCTGAATGGAGGCAGTCGCTAGTGATAAACAGATTAATATTCCAGTGTTGGTTAGCAGGGATTTAATTTGATTGGTTACAGGAACTCATCATGAGGTGAAATCGGTTAGATAACCATTGGAAAACCAGCAGGAGTACTGAACAGTTGTTTTGTCAGTCGACTTTGGGACTATTCAGTAGTACTCACCCACCGCACTGCCAGGGTTCGAACCTAGGAACTTCTGGTTACAAGTCGAGTTTGTAGATCATTAAACCACTGGTCAGCTCATGATGAAATCCTGTAACCAATCAATTCTCTGCAAACCAACGCCTGATTACTGATCTACAATTAGTCAAAGAGAGAAGAAAACCGATTTAGCTCATTTCTAGCTTTTCTACCAACTTCATATTCAAGATTATTTAGAAAAAACCACATAGTTTTGCTTATTAACAGTTCTACATTCTTTTTTCCTCCTTTCTAGATGGTTTAGTACGTCAAAGTGAAGTACGAAATATATGAAGAGAAAAAAGATGATCCGTTTTTTTTCTGTAAGTAAACTTTTCCGTACGTAAAATGATCTTTTGAAACGCACATGCTGAAATACTATGCTGATTAAGGTTCGACTAATTTCAAGGTAGACTTTTTTCTGCTTCACAAACCACACAATTTATAAGGTCACTGAAAGTCAAATGGAAATAGAGATAGAACTCAGTGCCTCACAGTGTGATAGCTTCCCGAGCACTTACGTCTCCCCGGAAAAAAAATCGTTTACAAATGCTCATACCTCAATTAGATATCGTGTCGACCCCTACAGCCCGAATTGCGGAACATAGTTTATGGTCATCGCCGTGACGTAACACCAGACCTAATGAGCCAAGCCGAACATATGGTCCACTTCAGTGGATCGATTTGTGAGATACGGAATTTACCGTTACAAATATGAACGGGATTCAGAATAAGAAGCGTTCAGTCTAAATCCGTCAGATGGTAGATTTACACCATTGGCCTCTCAACCAGGCATATATACCATTTCGTTGAACCTACAGTTCTCCTTGTACTAAGCAGGATTACCATAACAACGGCCAGATTGTACTTCACTGATTACTGTACTCATTAAAAGTGTAAAAATAACCGGTCTCATGATGGTCTAAGCCCAGCTTATGTTCCCTTGCTGAATCCCGCTTCACAATGATTGGAAAAGCCGATATTGAAGGATAAATACAAAAACTCGACTTGAATTTTAACACTTCAGTAACAGCTACTCAGAAACCAACCAGGAGTCACGCCTAAATCTACCAAAGTAGATTTCTTCTAAGAAATCTGGAAAAATAATTAGGAATTAACCTTTCGAGTTAATAAACTGAACGTGTGTTACACATAAAATCGAGAACACAGGATTGTCTAAAACACCGTAATATATTACATATGAAAATAATGCACCGAATTTACAAACCTCACTTTTTGAAGTTTCTAGATTGCCGTGGATTCCCACGAGGAAGCGCATGCCTACTCAATGGCAGAACACCTTTGTTTGGGTGATTCTGGTCATTTGTTTTCCTGTAGGTAATAAACGAATCCCGTTTGTTAATCTTACGGTTTATTTCTGAGACCCATCACTCCTTTTGTCACCCGTCTTTGAACTCTTCTCAAAAGGTTGGCCTCTCTTCTAAGCAGTAGGTTGAAATGATACTGTGTACTTCAAGGTGTGGACTGTTGTATATTTTGTACAGCCTTAGAAAGAGCTCAGATGTCAGTGCGACTAACTGTCTATGTGTAAAGTGTATAATCTGCCAATCTGAGTTTATCTTAGCATGACTGATCCTAAATATTACCACATTATTTGTTCTTTTTAGATACGGTGGAGGTAATACATCAAACTGAAAAGATATGCACATGAAAATTCCTAACAGATTTATTAAAAAAAATTCGTCTTCGTCTATTTTTGCGGTTTCCATCTTTTTATACAATGAATCCCTTATTCTAAATTCTCGTCCATTCAATCCCCTTCATCATTCATCAAATTGTGAAAATTAATTTATATTCCAAGGTTTATTTGTTTTTAATTATTTATCGAAAGAAAACTGTGAATTACATTCTCCTTGTTTTCGAAAATTGTTCAAAATATTGATTAAATTTTGTTTGTGATTCTCAGGCTAATAAATGTTTTTAATCTCAGTATGAATTTCTGTTCAGTCAGTACGCAAAGAAGTCTTGCGTTAAATGTACATATCAACTGAATTCATGGTTCCGTCGTTATTAAAGTTATTATTAGTCACTGTATTCTGCTCTTTGCCATTATTTCTAGATGACTATACTACTGTCCACAACCTGTCATTTCCTTCTTGACATGATTCTCCTTCGTGTTACCACTGATTTCCATTAGATGGTTTGCCTTGCGTGCGATATCACACGACGATCTCCTCGGAGGATGCTTAATCTACCTCCATCTCCTTTTGAATAATAGATTCTTGGTAGGTACACGAAATACACGAAAATTCCAGGGTTGTTTGGTCATCCCAACTGTAAGTCCCTTGATGCAACTTGCCACAGTGATGACGAGTATCAGTGATAATGGGCATCGTTACTCTTACTCCTTTCTTCATTTCAAAGACCTTTTTGAGCTTCCTGTTGTGGCATCACCACATAGAATACTGAACTGAATGACGTTTATAAATTTTTGTGGCACTGTTGGTGGATTATTTCGCGGTTGAATCTGTCAAAAGCCTTTTATCAAGGAAGTCTTATCCACCTACCGATTGCCGAACCACTTCAATATGATAAATTACAATGAATATTGGGCGTCGGTGGCACAGCAGTAGAATGCTCGCCAACTACGCCACAGGTGGTGGCTCGGGGTTCGACTCCCGGCCACAGACGCACTCCTTTACCTCGCTAAGCCAGTAATAAAACTGGTAAAGAGGGAAAGTTGGGCATGAGGCTGTCTAGCGACCCCATTTGGTGAAGATGAACACTACTGCTACCGAAACTTCAAGCCTCTGGCTTGTATGTTGTAAGATTTAACCACACTATCTGACCATTAAACATTTAGTAGGTGGGACGGGTTTAGAACACGTGACTTGATAGTCACTTTTAGTTATGAACTTTAAGATATAAAGTTTCTATATTTCAAGATACATCAATCCAGAAAATGTATACCTCAATGCTTTCAGATGAGCGAAAGTTACCTAATCTTATTACATGGAATTTTACTGATTCGACTTACTAAATGTCATTTGACTAACATAAAATTGGTTGGAGGATTTCATCATGAGCTGAAATCGGTCAGAGGACTATTGGAAAATCGCTACTGGATTGCTGGGCAACTATTTTGTCCTAGATTGGGACTATTCAGAACTACGCACTCGCCACCAGCGTTCGAGCCAGAACCTTCCAGTAAAATGGCTGCCTCGTAGACAGGTGTGGGAACAGATATTATTTACCTGTGACATTGACTAGTAGTTGCACCATATCGTGAATTGGCGGAAGTTAGAATTCATAGACTGGTGTTTGGATCGGGTCCCAGTGACTGATGCATGGTCTACGAGCTCGCCTTCTAACTGGAACGTACTGGGTGAGTGAGTCCTGAATAGTCACAAAGTAGGACAAAATAGTTGTATGGCACTCCAGTGGCGGTTTTCTAATGGTTCTCGAGCCGATTTCAGCTCATGATGAAATCTTGTAACTAGTCAAAACCTTGAAAACCAACACTTCAATAACATGAAATTATGTAGATTTATGTGAGATTTAAGTTCTACATGTCTTAAAAATTTCCTTACTCTATAAAGTACGACATAGAGGGTGAGAAAAGCATGCGGACAAGTTGTGTACTATATTTGGCTCCGATTAATCTGCTATAATACATTCATATCTTCACGTTCTCTGGTGTGCTCATTGCTGATTACGACCAGATACCGATGACACTTCACTAAAAAGAACAAGTGAAATAGGACGAAATGCGCATCCTGGATTCCACTGCTAGCCACCATCCACCAATGGTATAAGAACAAGTGAAAATTTAAGAAAATATACTATTATTGAAATTAAGTTCTAAACTACTCCAAACAAAAGGTGTGCGTCAGTGGCACAGTGGTTAGGACTCTCGCCGACCATGCACATGGTCCGAGGTTCGAGCCCACGACGACGCACACCTGATATCTATGGTCGGCCTGCAAAATTTGGGCTATGGATATCACACGCTGAAAATTCCATACTTGTTCCTCTACCAGAACACTGAAGCATAAAAAAGTAGACTAAAGTTTTCGAGAATGTGAAATACGATGATATACCGTCAGTGCCGAAACCTTCATAGCTTTTGAGAGTTCTAATGATTTGGTTAATGTTAGCATAAGTAAACTCAAGGGTACTAATTTGTTTTGGTGTGGGTAAGGGTGCAAGTTGTGCCACATCAGTAGTAAGGTGTATACCAAGTAATGGGACCGTAGTCTTCAGGTAGTTAGTTAAGATGTTCTGCTTAATAATTCACACATGTCTGCAGAGTCAGTGAATAGCCTACCTTTGTCTGTGAGGAGAGAAATGCTGTGATTTTCGCGAATTAATCGCTTCTTTGGGGTTTCTGAGAGAGCATAAACACTAGCAGGACTGACTACTGCGGTGCGTTCTTCATTTCTCATACGCAAATCTCGACCTTGTGAGATGGAGTTAGAGCGTTAAGTATTAAGCCTGGTGTACCAGAGTCGTGGTGTTTGAAGTAACTCTTCGAGTGCCTGTTCACTTTCGTACGACACTTCGGTTTTATAAATGACTTTCTATGTGGAAAAACCCTAAGTGTTTGGAGTGGAATGATAGCATCTAAGCATGTGTTTGAGTTCTGGTAGAAGATGCTCAGAGCTCATCAGTAGTGAAGTATTCACCCCATTCTGAGGATCTTGGCATTGATTCTGCAAAAGCCCAGCTTGCCTTAATATCGTTCCTACATATTACTTGTTGTGAAGTGAAGGTATGAGATGCGTTGCTCCCCAGTGGAAGTGGCAGTGCACACATCACTTTCTTGTGGTCACTACCTGAAAACTTAGAACCCACTAAGATTGAGAGGGGACCTACATCGTTACAGAATATTAAGTCCAGCACGTTTTCACCTCTTGTAGGGATAGTGACAGATTGTTTCCAACCGAAAATGTTCAATGTACCTAAAAGCTCGTCATACTTTATTGGGCCTGTTAATAAATCCCAATTGATTGAGAATAGGTTGAAGTCTCCACATATGATCTTATGCTCTTATGGAAGAGTAGATGATTCCTCCAGTGCAATAATGATTTATGTCCCGTAATTCCTAAAGGTGTGGTGGACCTTTTACTCCGTTAGCTTAGTTACCCAAATTCAAATAGAAAATAAAGTACCAAATCAGTTTAGTTACGGGAAGAATGTATTAAAGTTTCGTTACTTGGTTTTACAGAGATCCAAAATCCACAATAAACGTAATAGACTCCAGGCGCTGAGGGAAGACTGCTCCAGTACTAATTCTCCAATGTTGACGTTGCCGGAGGTCGACCAAAGTACGT